GTGTTTATGTACTAGCCTAGGTGACATAAACAAGTAGTGGCATGGAAGACCCGTCACCCATCTCGTAATTGTCATCCTAAATATATAATTAGAGGAATATTACATATACGTGACATCTAATATCGGCACGCATCCAAGTTAAACAATGGCCACCACCTTATACATCAAAACCCAAGATTTATTATACCTTTGGTTGAATAAATATAAAGATATCATATATGTGTACGTAAGTGGGAATATTTCACTTTCTTTTTATATGTTTCTTCTTCTTTGTCACTGTCATATGGTGCGAAGATTATTGGCCTATGTGACTCGTGAGGTGTTCTTAAATTAATGGTTTTGATTAAATATGATAAGTTGATAGGGTTATCTTTTCAAGCGGTGATGTTGCGATTAAGAGAAACTAACCACCTTATTTGTAACCTATAATTCATAAAATAAAGGTGTGGAAGAAGTGTGAATAAAGTAGTAAACCAAACTTTGTTGCTTTACATGCCATTCTTGACCTAAAAAATATCATAACAAAATTTTTGTTTTATGTAACAGATCATATCTTTTTCACATAGCCATGCATATGGGTTCCCAGACCTCTCTCTAAATCTGAGTTCTACTAACTCTGCACGAAGAATTTATAAATTGTAGGTAACGTGCAACACTGCACCATGTAGTATATATAGCACAGTTGAACTCTCCATTTAAGGAAAACTAACGAAAAGTTCTAAAAAAAAAAAAATAGTTTTAATCAAAGCGACAAAATAAATGTGTAAGTGAATAATATCAGAAGTGACTTTTCCGGCTAAAAATATCTTTAACGTTAAAAGTGAACAGTACCATGAATGTTTCATTGAGACTTCCTTTAGTTAATTGAAGATAAATAAGCACAGACAAAGATGAAACTGATCTTCTTTTCTGGCTTAATCAAAGAGGAACCCTAATGTTGCATACTATCTAATTCTTCTTTTTCCCCATTTATCTTGATGTTATGATGTTTGGTTGTGATTTTTTTTTTAAATATAAACATTACAAACTGGATCCTATACGGATCATAGTACAATACAAATCAATTAAGAGCCACGAACAAATTTCGGACGAAAATTACAAAACTAAATACAAGATTGACTATGGTTTTTTTATTAGATCCCAACATAATGTTGAAAACACCCCACATAAGATTATAAAAAAAAATTAAAATAATTCTAAATACACCCCAAATAACACATCCCAATATTATTTATTTTCTTCAACTCTCAAAACCGTTCCCTCTCCATTGTACTTAGAACAAAACTCTAATCAATAAAACTACAAAGACGTTGACTGAAAAAATTATTCATAAGAGAATCTTAATCCAAAACCAAATAAACTTCACATTGATAATTGATCTTCAATCAATTAATCCCAACTTTTGTCCCCATTTTCCTATTCCTACTTGGGCAGTTTCCATCTTTCTAAACCTGATTCCTTCAATCAAATCAACCTTCCATACCAAATCAAGTAACCCCTTAATTAGTCTTATTAGTTGGCTGTTCGGCTCAGAGAAGCAATACAAAGGCCCTCATTTGCAAGTCTTGTTTTAAGAATATTTGGTTTCCACATATTTTCGAGGAGAGCTTGGAAAGGTTGTCCCTTTCTTTTGCGTACACATCTTTTAGGTTTCGCAACATTGTCCTACTTATCCTGGGTTGAAGTCCAAACAAAAAGAAATGGAGGAACTGAAGCACTGGCCTTTCCTTTAAATGTTGTGACCTCAAGTTTTTAATCAAAGCAATGTTACTCTTTAATCAACATTTGGCGCGGTGTGGTAGAAGAAGAATAATTGTGGCTGGTTCTTGTTGGAGAAGGGGGAGGGCTAAATTTTTTTTCTTTTTTTAGATATGCAGAGTGTGGGGTATATGTAGAAAATGTGGGTTGTATGTTGAGGTGTGGGGTGTGATGGTATTATGGAAAAGTAGGTGGGGTGTATTAAGATAAATTTTAATTAAAAAAGCAAATGTTGGGTGTATTAAGGTTGTGGGGTGCATTCAACAATATATGTGGGGTGTTGATAAAATAAGCCTTGACTATAAGTATGTGCTTGATTAGCAAACTCATCAAATGTCAAATTGCATTTCTGTAAATGTAATTAATCGGATAATTGGAGATCTTGTCCAGCAAATACCATATATCCTTGATGAGTGAAGATAATTGTCAAAGAATCTGAACCTTCTACTTAATTGCTTGTATTAAGAGTTAAGACTTTGGTTTGCTTGTTATCATTTGTATGTTTCTGGGTCATAAAGAAAATCGATTTTAACTTAAACATTATATGTATGATATAATTTTCCAAAATATAACCTGCAAGATCTAGAGTACTTTTGGCCTATGTAATAATTTGCCTACGAAGGTGGTGGAGACTTGAAATTAATTTTCACAAGCCCATCACATCAAACAAAAAGATGACGTGTTTTTTGTGAGGGTTTGAAGGTAAAATAGTCTTATATCAGTGAAAGAAAAAATCTTATAAGGGTTTATAAAGGGTTAAACTATTCTTCATATTACTGATTAATTTTATGATAGAACCTCAATTTTTTTCATAATATCAAAGCATATAGATCGATACGTTGACAACATATGCATATGTCCATATTGTATATATATAATAACACAAGAAGGCAAAGAGGACAACCTCGTTCATGCCATATGGTACGCTCAACTGGCCCTCCTCTATCTTATTTATTGTCAAACAAGAAAATGACACACACACAGCCCCACTCATTTGGTTTTATAGTTTTGTGAGGAGAGACCCAGTATGCAATTGCGATGTCTATCTACCCTGCTATTTAGTATTTGAATTCTTGCGGGGGGTATTGATCCCAGTAGGGAAAATAGGTAAAGAAATGGAAAGGTGTGTCATAAAGATGGCAAGTCCACCTTGCAGATATATCCATATTCCATGCACAAAGGTGGTGGGGAATTTTGATGGTGATGGAGTGGACAAAGCCATGGCATAAAATATGGATCTCCATATATTAAAAAAAAAGAAAAAAATTAGGGTCACATGCATATGATGTGTAGTAAAATGTGGGGTGAGTGGCACAATCCAGCTATCAGCTTTAGTCATCACCTTAAAATTTGATGTTGCTTCCCTCTCCTCTCTCACAACACCACATTTTCCCTTTATAACATTGTCCCACTCATATGACAATTGACAAACAAGAGAGAGAGACATGTAGAGAGAGAATATCCTTTATGCGAGAATTTTGAGGGCTACCATTGGTTTGCTTTAGGAATATGGATTTGATAGGATAAAGAGATGGTGGAGTTGAAGCAAAGGTGGAGTATAATATCTATTGGGGATTATTAATTTTCCATGGTGGAATCAAGAACCAATAAAGTTTGAAGTATCCGGAAGGTTAAGGTGATTCTATTCAACATAAGCATAAAAGGGGACCTTTACTTACCATTCTTTTCCATTGAATTAGAAAAATATATGCCATTGTTGTAAGCACAAAATCTTATCCCACCGAACAAAAATCCTATACGCCAAAGCCTAAAAGGCTGCAACCTCTCTTCATCCCATGATCCCGTTCATTGGTTTCTTTAAGATTGCAGCATCAAATCTAATTAGTGCAAATTCCATCATCTTCATTTTTCTCTTTTATTTACTTGTTTTATAAAAAAAAAAAAAAAAAAAACTATTTATTTAAGTTTTATGAATGAAACCCTAAACTTAAAAGTCTTTGTAACGAAGCAAACAAAATTATGGGCAAATGATCTAAATGGCACTTTAGTGGTGAGAGAGATACTAACTGCTTCAAGTATGGGGCCAGTAAGGTATGAATGACACATTGTGAAAATGGTTTCTATGGGGAGGGATAAGTGTTAGGAATTGTTTTAAGTTTATATATTTGTGCAAGTAAAATTTCTTTTCAATCAAACATTGATAGATTTGGGTGAATAAATAAAACTTGTTATTTTTCTTTTCAAATGAACAATTGATTTATAATACATGTGATGATACTAAACAATTTAAAGTACACATCAGTGACTTTATTTGTTGTTTTAAAACAATTGTTGGGAAAACACACACTTTTAAATTAGGGATCAACAACCTACTCCATTTGAAGTTGAATTTAAAATCATCTTAACACTATTTGTAAAATATATTTGGAATAATGGTGACAACATATGGGAACTTGGTTGTCCATATGGCATGACTATTATCTAAAAAACACACACATATATACATATATATATATATGTATACAAATTTTGTGTGTGTGAGAGAGAGTAATTTCAAGATGTTTCTTTGCATCGAAGTTTATGGTTATGAGAGTAACCTCAAGGTCGTAATCAACCAAAACGAAAGATTAAAAAAGAAAAGAGAAAAAGAAGAGGAGGAGTAAAATATACATCATTCCATCTAGATGTGCTTCCAACTTTTCCTCTCTTTGAAAGGAGCAAATTTAGCGTTGAAGAGAAAGGGTGATGGCATGGAAAGTGACCCAAAACCTAGACTAATCAAATTTTAATCAAATATATTACATAATCCAATTTTTAGCAAGAATAAAAAATGAGTACCTTTTGGCACAACTAAATGAACATTAAAAAAAAAAAGAAAAAAAAAGAGAGGAGTTGAAAGAGTAATGTCGCCCATCACACTTTATTGGCCACCACCCCGACATTGCATGTCGCAACTATAAAGGAACCAAGTGCTGGACCGAAACATGGTCTCCAAGTCATCGTGTTGAATCCAAAACATAGAATCTTGGTTAAGTCATACAAAGAATCTTTCAAAATTAGGTAAAATTATGTGCGACAAGACTTAAGTCTTCTCTTTTTTTTTTCTTAGCATGTGAATAAATTCGTTGGGTGGATGTGGTGCAATTTTCTAACTGGGATCTCAGCTTTTGATCATGCTGAGGCAGCTGGTAGACCTTGCCACTTTATTGTATCAAATAATAAAGTCGATCTAACCAGATTTGCTCCAAAATTTATTAAGGAAAAGCATGGCCTGGTCAAGGATGGTGAGGTTGTCCAATAGGTATTGAATGTGATGTGTAACGACTACAGTGGAAAGACCCCAAATAGAAGAAGCCATTATAGCCAAGCATAAATCATGAATAAAATGAGGGAAGAAAAACGAAAGGGTAATGCTATCGACACACTAATTTTTATCTCCTACACACCTCTCTCAATTTTCTGTTATTGGATCAAATGATGGACAAAAATTAGCAATAGCATATAAGATGTAAAAAGAGGCGTGTAAATAGTACTACCCCAACAAAATTGGTTCGAATTGGTTGAAGATTATAATATTGGAGTGTTGAGAACAAAATTAGCAAAATGTATTTGGGCCAAACTTACACTTATTCTATAGGGTTGGAAATATTCAACTCTAGCTTAGCCTAAAGCAACTTCAACTTCAAGTNATTCTGGAAGTCTCTTGGAGGGATTTACGAGGACTCAAGTTAGTACTCTTGCTGTAAAAGATAAGTTGCTAGTTGCTGGAGGATTCCAGGGTGAACTTATTTGCAAGGTGAGTTACAAATAATTGAATTAACTAAGTAAGCAAATAAATGAATGAGTATTTATTGCACAGTTGCATACCTCTTGTGCTTATGGTGTCAACATGGCTTGGTTTGCACTTATCAGTTGTGACCTTGTACATGGTTCACCTGGACCGTAGGGGTGGTACCGGAACACACATGTTATTTATTCTTTGTTTTAGCTCTATGGGTGCTACTCCATTCCAGATGGATCTTCTGGATGACTTAACCTTCAAACTTCTGCTATCAGTGTCCATTATATGATTGACAAGACCTTTGATACACTTGACTACATTCTGTATATGGATTCTGTCATTCGGCTGTGTCCACAAGATCCCTTTTAGATTCATTTTTTTCCCTTTGAAGAACTAATAAAGAGAAAAGCTCAATGCTGACAGATTTATCTTATCTTTGACTGCTCTGCAGCATCTTGATCGGCCTGGAGTCAGCTTTTGTTCAAGGACAACTAATGCAATAACAAATGCTGTTGAGATTTATGATAGTCCTAGGTACTTTTTTTTCCTTCATGAGATCGGGACTTCTCATTTCCAAATTCCAATCATGAACCCAACTGATATAATCCCCTTGAATTTCGCAGCGGGGCAGTTCACTTTACAGCCTCTAATAATGACTGTGGAGTCAGAGACTTTGACGTGGAGAAATTTCAGCTTACTAAGCATTTCCGTTATCCTTGGCCTGTGAATGTGAGTCTACCTCATGTCATCCAATGCTGATTTTCATTGGGTCACATTTTACTTGTGATCACTTAATGCTTCTTTTAGTCAGTTTTACTTAACTTCGAGGCACCTCTATGCTTTGTTGGCAGCATACTTCTCTGAGTCCTGATGGTAAACTTCTTGTGATTGTTGGAGACAATCCGGAAGGGATGTTGGTAAACTCTCAAACTGGAAAGGTATGTATCTCAGACTTTGACAGACTTCCTGAGCTAGGAAAGGACGGTGTGCTGATTTGTATGAGTTTCTTTTGCAGACGGTGATGTCTTTAAGTGGGCACTTGGATTTCTCCTTCGCATCAGCATGGCATCCTGATGGTATGACCTTTGCTACTGGGAACCAGGACAAAACCTGCCGGATTTGGGATGTTCGAAACCTTTCCAAGTCAGTTGCTGTTTTGAAGGGGAACCTTGGAGCTATTCGGTCAATCCGGTATACTTCCGATGGTCAGTATATGATGATGGCAGAGCCAGCGGATTTTGTGCATGTCTATGATGTGAAAAGTGGGTATGAAAAGGAACAGGAGATTGATTTCTTTGGTGAGATATCTGGCATATCATTCAGTCCGGACACAGAGTCGCTTTTTATTGGAGTGTGGGATCGTACATACGGTAGTCTTCTTTGAGTATGGCCGAAGCCGGAACTACTCTTACCCTGGTGTTAAGAAGTAATTTGGTTACCCTGGTTATGTTGTCGGATGTGGCAAGTTTTGTAATTTTATATAAGGTCATTTTTGTTGGATGTGGCAAAGTTTGTATGCATACAAGTGCGATTTTTGCATAGTCCCAAATACCAAGTGTTACACGATTCATGATATTGAATTTCCATGCATGGTAACTCAGCGACATATGTTGTGTAGTTGAGCGCATGCATGACATAGTTGGTTTTCCCGATTCTTTTCTTCTCTGCCGTATATTTTAATCAGGTTCCTGAAGTTTATTTTAGTTTCTAATTTTTATTGCCTAATGCACGTGTTAATTAAACATATTCCAGCAAACAAGTTGCTCCAAGCACGGAATATAATGAATTTCATTTGCATGCTTTATCTGATTATCCATTCATAGTTATAAGTTATGACACAACAGCATGAGTAGTTGATTCCGTTTTATATGGCGTCTATGGCAGAGACAGCAGGGACATCCATGTCAAAAAGTACTTTGTATATGGCGTCTATGGATTCTTTGAGTTGCCGTCGCGATGTTTTAGCAGATTCAGTATCTTGCATAAAAATAAGGCTTAAATGTTAAAATCGTCCTTGTGTTTTAATCATTAAGTCAATTTAGTCCATGTGTTTTCAATTTAGCCAATTTGGTCCTTGTGTTTTAGTCATTGGGTCAATTTAGTTCCTGTGTTTTCAATTTGGCCAATTTGGTCCTTGTGTTTATCTCCGTTAGCCAATTAAGGACATTTTATCCAATTTTCGAAAATAAAATTTATAAATTATTATAAACTTATTTATAAAATTATTTATTTGATTTAAAATATTTAAAAATGAACTAAAATTAAAAATAAAAAAAAATTCTCCTCCCAACTCTCCAACCTCCTCCCTAACATTAAAATAAATGGGTCTGATTTAATAATTCGGTGCTTATTTAATACAAGGCTTAAATGTCAAAATAGTCTATGTGTTATAGCCATATGACCAATTTAGTCTCCGTGTTTTTATTTGGCTAATTTAGTCATCATGTTTGTCCATGTTAGCCAATTAAGGACATTTCATTCAATCTCTTTTAAAAAATTCATAAGAAAAATTATATGAGATATAATTACCCTTTCTCTTTACAGAAAAATGAAAGTCAATGAGAAATAACACATATAAGAGATAAACTTCCAATCTGAAAAATGATTAAGGTTGTGACATAGAAGGGAGAGGGGGTAATGTTAGGGAGGAGGTCAGAGAGTTGGGAGGAGAATTATATTTTTTTAATTTTTAAATATTTTAAATCAAATAAATAATTTTATAAATAAGTTTATAATAATTTATAATATATTTTTTTCAAAAATTGGATAAAATGTCCTTAATTGGCTAACGGAGATAAACACAAGGACCAAATTGGCCAAATTGAAAACATAGGGACTAAATTGACTCAATGACTAAAACACAAGGACCATTTTAACATTTAAGCCTAAAAATAAGGAAAAAAAATTAGCACAAAAGGTGGATGGGGACAATACCTTGTGAAGGATAACATGACAGAGAGAATTGATGCAATGCAATGCAACCAATCTAATTTATAACTCTAGACTCTAGGGTAGCAGCTCACCATCATAATGGCAGATTGGTATAGACAAGACCACGGGCTGCGAAGATGGCTTCGCCTGCATCCTAAGAAGAAACACAAATCACATATCAGCTATACCTGCTATCAAAGATTCAAAGGCATCAATGTAAACCAGCATGTCACATGATAATGAAGGTAGTGCAATTTCGTGTATTGTTTTAAATTGAAATTTTAGCGAAAGTATCTTAAATGTGCTCACTTGTATTTAAGTTATTGAACATGCAGATTGAATAAAGAAATCTATCTAATTAACTGAGAGAAAGAGGATTGCATAAAAAAAAAACAGCTAAAAGCTTCTTCAACTATGAAGTTGCTTGACTAATACATCGTATTAATGAAAAACTAAAAATGGTGGAGTCTACAGTACATCGGCGACTCAACATTACCAAATTCTTGCAAGTCAGACCACTTCACCAAAAAGGTTGCTGACCGGCCTGATGGACATGCGTATTTGCTCCAGCCAAACTTGCAATAGCCAGAGCCCCCTTCCCAAGAAATGTAAAGATAAAATGAGGGAATAGTTTATGTCGGAGCTAGATAAACTCCAATGTTGGCTAACAAAGCAAAATCATAACTCCACTCATATTATTATGGATAATAGTGATGCTAAAACATTGAATCGCTATTGTTAGCCTTCCGAAACATAAATATTGTTAATGCGTAAGGAGGTCGGAGACGCTCACCGTCAATGATAACAGAACCAAGAAACTTGAACTCGTTGACCATAGATACCCATGTAGGACAACTGGGGACTCTCACCCGAGAATGTTCTTCAACAAAAATAATATTTGAATAAGCTCGGCCATTAAACTCCAACCACAATTGAATGAACAAGCACCAAACAACATTTACATTATTTCAGCATCAAAGAACACATTCACTAGGCAAGTCCATGGTTTTCTCACCAAAACAATGGCGTAACGTTTTCTCCAAGATACTAAACACTCAATTTCAATAATCACAAGTTTTTATATTTTACCGCTTGACATGCTTTATGTTTGAACTGAGCACTAATTTGAATTGAAGTTAGGGGAAATTTTATTTAAACTCATCTAACATATTTATATACCCAATTTACTCTTTTAATTTATTTGATTTTTTAACTAAACTATTAATATCTCTTTAAACTCAAATTTAATACCTAATATACCCTCATAAACCCCAATTCAATATGTGGATTTATTTTTTACTCCCATTAAATTTTTAACTCAAAAGTTGCCGGCTGTGCCACTTGACTACTGAATAGCTATCACCAAATAAGCTCATTGATTCTTCAACAGATGTAAGATTGAATCCGTGAATCCGTTATTCCACTGTAACTTCCTTCTTCCTCTTCCCCTCTTCCTGTTGCCGACGAACACAGAAAAGTTAGAGAGAGAAAGATGGAGAGAGAAAGATAGGTAAAGGGAGATGGCGTTGGACTGGTCTTGCTCCCAAGTAAAAATGGCTTCCACGGAGGGTATAGTACCAATAACCAGGGCTTTTCTCGCTTCCTACTACGACACATACCAATTCCCCCCTCTCAAACGACATCGCTCGCCTCTCAGCCGAGATTCGATCCTTCACCGCCGACTTGCTCCGCCACTCTCCGGCGGCTCAAGGTCATCGTAATTTCAAAACCCTTTTGAAGATTTTACATATTTTTGCTAAAGTGATCAACTTTTTCCAATTTTTTGCTTGCAATCTAAAAAATTCAATATCTTGCATAGTGAATGAATCGAATGGGTTTAATTTTTAAGCGAGGAGAGATTGTTAGTCAGTGAATTGGATAGTGAACCTCCCCATAAAGTCGACAAAAACATGTGGAAGAATCAAGAGCATATGGAAGAGATACTATTTTTGCTTGAAAAACCCTAGGGGTACCTCGTTCATGCCATATGGTACGCTCAACTGGCCCTCCTCTATCTTATTTATTGTCAAACAAGAAAATGACACACACACAGCCCCACTCATTTGGTTTTATAGTTTTGTGAGGAGAGAAACCCAGTATGCAATTGCGATGTCTATCTACCCTGCTATTTAGTATTTGAATTCTTGCGGGGGGTATTGATCCCAGTAGGGAAAATAGGTAAAGAAAATGGAAAGGTGTGTCATAAAGATGGCAAGTCCCACCTTGCAGATATATCCATATTCCATGCACAAAGGTGGTGGGGAATTTTGATGGTGATGGAGTGGACAAAGCCATGGCATAAAATATGGATCTCCATATATTAAAAAAAAAGAAAAAAATTAGGGTCACATGCATATGATGTGTAGTAAAATGTGGGGTGAGTGGCACAATCCAGCTATCAGCTTTAGTCATCACCTTAAAATTTGATGTTGCTTCCCTCTCCTCTCTCACAACACCACATTTTCCCTTTATAACATTGTCCCACTCATATGACAATTGACAAACAAGAGAGAGAGACATGTAGAGAGAGAATATCCTTTATGCGAGAATTTTGAGGGCTACCATTGGTTTGCTTTAGGAATATGGATTTGATAGGATAAAGAGATGGTGGAGTTGAAGCAAAGGTGGAGTATAATATCTATTGGGGATTATTAATTTTCCATGGTGGAATCAAGAACCAATAAAGTTTGAAGTATCCGGAAGGTTAAGGTGATTCTATTCAACATAAGCATAAAAGGGGACCTTTACTTACCATTCTTTTCCATTGAATTAGAAAAATATATGCCATTGTTGTAAGCACAAAATCTTATCCCACCGAACAAAAATCCTATACGCCAAAGCCTAAAAGGCTGCAACCTCTCTTCATCCCATGATCCCGTTCATTGGTTTCTTTAAGATTGCAGCATCAAATCTAATTAGTGCAAATTCCATCATCTTCATTTTTCTCTTTTATTTACTTGTTTTATAACATAAAAAAAAAAAAAACTATTTATTTAAGTTTTATGAATGAAACCCTAAACTTAAAAGTCTTTGTAACGAAGCAAACAAAATTATGGGCAAATGATCTAAATGGCACTTTAGTGGTGAGAGAGATACTAACTGCTTCAAGTATGGGGCCAGTAAGGTATGAATGACACATTGTGAAAATGGTTTCTATGGGGAGGGATAAGTGTTAGGAATTGTTTTAAGTTTATATATTTGTGCAAGTAAAATTTCTTTTCAATCAAACATTGATAGATTTGGGTGAATAAATAAAACTTGTTATTTTTCTTTTCAAATGAACAATTGATTTATAATACATGTGATGATACTAAACAATTTAAAGTACACATCAGTGACTTTATTTGTTGTTTTAAACAATTGTTGGGAAAACACACACTTTTAAATTAGGGATCAACAACCTACTCCATTTGAAGTTGAATTTAAAATCATCTTAACACTATTTGTAAAATATATTTGGAATAATGGTGACAACATATGGGAACTTGGTTGTCCATATGGCATGACTATTATCTAAAAAACACACACATATATACATATATATATATATGTATACAATTTGTGTGTGTGTGAGAGAGAGTAATTTCAAGATGTTTCTTTGCATCGAAGTTTATGGTTATGAGAGTAACCTCAAGGTCGTAATCAACCAAAACGAAAGATTAAAAAAGAAAAGAGAAAAAGAAGAGGAGGAGTAAAATATACATCATTCCATCTAGATGTGCTTCCAACTTTTCCTCTCTTTGAAAGGAGCAAATTTAGCGTTGAAGAGAAAGGGTGATGGCATGGAAAGTGACCCAAAACCTAGACTAATCAAATTTTAATCAAATATATTACATAATCCAATTTTTAGCAAGAATAAAAAATGAGTACCTTTTGGCACAACTAAATGAACATTAAAAAAAAAAAGAAAAAAAAAAGAGAGGAGTTGAAAGAGTAATGTCGCCCATCACACTTTATTGGCCACCACCCCGACATTGCATGTCGCAACTATAAAGGAACCAAGTGCTGGACCGAAACATGGTCTCCAAGTCATCGTGTTGAATCCAAAACATAGAATCTTGGTTAAGTCATACAAAGAATCTTTCAAAATTAGGTAAAATTATGTGCGACAAGACTTAAGTCTTCTCTTTTTTTTTTCTTAGCATGTGAATAAATTCGTTGGGTGGATGTGGTGCAATTTTCTAACTGGGATCTCAGCTTTTGATCATGCTGAGGCAGCTGGTAGACCTTGCCACTTTATTGTATCAAATAATAAAGTCGATCTAACCAGATTTGCTCCAAAATTTATTAAGGAAAAGCATGGCCTGGTCAAGGATGGTGAGGTTGTCCAATAGGTATTGAATGTGATGTGTAACGACTACAGTGGAAAGACCCCAAATAGAAGAAGCCATTATAGCCAAGCATAAATCATGAATAAAATGAGGGAAGAAAAACGAAAGGGTAATGCTATCGACACACTAATTTTTATCTCCTACACACCTCTCTCAATTTTCTGTTATTGGATCAAATGATGGACAAAAATTAGCAATAGCATATAAGATGTAAAAAGAGGCGTGTAAATAGTACTACCCCAACAAAATTGGTTCGAATTGGTTGAAGATTATAATATTGGAGTGTTGAGAACAAAATTAGCAAAATGTATTTGGGCCAAACTTACACTTATTCTATAGGGTTGGAAATATTCAACTCTAGCTTAGCCTAAAGCAACTTCAACTTCAAGTCTAGCCCAAGTTCAACCCACTTGAAAGGCCCACAAGCTAAAAAATGTTGATTGTATAATTTCTTTTCATCTGGATTGTTGTTTTTCTCTTTCATGCAAACGGTAGTGGCAGTGGGAGAGCATGGAATCGAATATAAAGATCTCGGGGGCACGGATAATTGTTTTTGACCATTTGAGTTACAAGCCTTTTGCTTTATCAGGTTATCGTTGAAGCTTTAACCAAACTGATATTGTTGTACAATCTAAGTATTAATATATTAATCCAACCACCATAGACAAGCAAGCTTGAAGAAGAGAGAGAGTGAGGCTCTGTATATTTCACTTGCAAAATGAGATGAATACCGTCCTAATAGGGATTTTTACCACCTGCAAAAATAGAGATAAAAACACTTAAAAAATATTTGCAAGAGTACAAGCTTGAAGAAGAGAGAGAGTGAGGCTCTATATATTTCACTCACAAAATGAGATGAATACCTTCTTGATAGAGATTTTTACCACCTGTAAAAATAGGAATAAAAACACTTAAAAATACTTTCAAGAGTACAAGATTGTTGTAGTATAACAGCTCAAGCAAGGTCACATTTTCAGCAGGAATTGAATGAATAATTTATGTAAATATCAAATCTTAATTAATTATTTGGAAACAAAGATTGGAAATGGTTGATTTGATGACCTAAAATATTAAAAACGAATTTAATTGAAAACAATTAAATAAATTGACAAAGTAGAGAAAACAAAAGAAAATAGTTTTGAAAATCAAATTGTAAAAGTCTATGGTTCCGCCGTCCCCTTAACAATCTTATGTAGATTTACCAATTACTTAAGAATTACTCATGCAACTTTGAAGGTTAGGTTTTCCTTATGCATATTCTACTTGTGGCATTCAAGCTAGAACGTATATCAAACATGCAATTCGTTTGTGGCATTCGGATCAAATATAAACATGCATGACTCATTACGCTTTGTGAAAACTCTTTGAAAAATCATGCAACCCCTAAGATGTGGCATTCGCCCTAGGTGAAATTACAACTATCAATCACAAGAAGCAATACTCAATTCCTCGATGGCATTCCGACCGAATTGCATCCAATTACTT